AAAGATAAAGATCCATGTTGGAAGCATTATGACATGACGCTAAGACTCAAAATGCATACGAAAAGTGTTAGATATACAATAGTCTAATTATATGTACCATAGTATACGAGAAATCTAACCTCGTATGATAGCGGAAGCGTAGCCGTGTTGATCTCCAACCATAGTTGATGTTCCTGTTGTGTTGCCTCTTAACGGTAGACCGTCAGCCATGTTTTGTCTCAGACCTGACTCAGAACCCTAGATGGTGTATCGGTATCTACTGAGCGGTCTGAGTACCGTAACTGAATGTGCTATCTAAATCCATAATCCTGTATCCCATCAATCCAGGTTATATTAGGCACAAAGTTTGGTTGATTAACAACTACTAGTTATTAAGTCCAACCAGACCACTTAATAAGCCTAGTCAACTTGCACCACTTAATTAAGGCCCTAATATATAATATATAATATATATTATTAGGGAAAATCTTACATTCTCCCACTTGGTGCAAGTACTAGCACAACCTTCATCAAAGAACAAAACACACGAATCATAGTGATATGTCCTCTATTTAATCAGAGTAGTATCCATTATGATCACATGCATTTTAATTCTCCAACTTAGGTCCTTAATGAACAAACCCTATGTTTATTCTCGGTACCTTAAGGGATGTTTCTCAAAATACATTATGTGCACAACTGAAGGAGAAAACGCATCCAAATTGTACAAAAGAGTACACTGTATGATCTCTAAAACTTTATAAGCATGCCTTAAGTAGAGATCTCTTCATGTTAGCATAATGCTAACTATATTCCATGACTTCTTTATAAGTTAACTTTAAGTACTATCTCTAACAGCTAAGAGCTTGGAGTTGACACGTCTGTCACTCCCACTCATCAAAAATAGCCAAAAGATAGTCAAGTCACAGAAATATTCCAATAACTTAGACAATAAACCAAAGGTCTAAGTCCATAAATTTGGAATCTTAATCATACACCATAACTTTCCAAATAACTTCAATGTCCATTTTAAATGAACTGAACATAATGAGTCTTACTTTTGTGTCCCACAAAATTGTTTTGAGCCTTACAAATCAAAATGGCCCAGGATTAATTTTGAAGAAACTAAAGACTCTATTAATCACTGAAGAATTTATTAAATTACAGTGCACCACAAGTGAAATGCTTTTATTCTAATAAATTCCTTAATATTGTTACAACATTTTCATAAATATGTTGTACAACCAAATGTTCAATAATTTGAACTTATGAATTTATATGAACAAATACAAGATTAATACTTGTGGAATATTTTGGACTTATTGTGTAACATACAACCCAATTTGGAATGTATGAATACAATAATTAAATCCAAAAACTTTAGTGGAGTATCTTAATGATCTTTTTCTAAATGATCACTCCCACTGATTAAAATATTCTTCAGCGAAATTAATAAATGAACTTAATAATATACATACTCATAATTGATTTATTGACCAACTAACAAATGAAGACATAATTCCCCACCATTAGTTGGGCATACTAAATAATCAATGGTCATATATGGTTGTTGCACCTAAGCAAGAATTGAGAGTTATGGCCTGCACAATGGCCATATATGGTTGTTGCAACAGTAGGAGTAGAGAAAAACTTTTCATTTCATGGTCATGACAGGGAAACTAGTGCATTTCGTCCACACTTCATGAGCTATATCACATGAAGAAATAACAACACACCTAGCTTGATCACAATATTTTTTTATGTAAATCTAATTGCACATCATCTGACAAATGATGTCACATAGCATCTTAAATTACTTTCAACCTTTCTAAACAATTTGAAACGAAAAGTGTTGCAAACAACTTCCAAAGGGGATGAGTGGACGCCCAATCGACTTATCGATTGCATTAATATATATATTCTCTAATCTCTATCATAATCAAACAACCCTATAGCATAATAGACATCTTCCTACAAATTATATTGGACACTAACATGATGCATTGCATACTATAATCAAAACACATCTAATATAATATATCTCACCACTACTAGGGGTACATAGAACATTTGTCTGATAGTAAACCCCATCTTTCAAGGATGTCATTCCTACAGTTTGTTTTCTCAGAAAAAATTATTAGATACCTCTACATAAGTTAACACTCTTGCCTCAACATACTACTTATTTGCTTCAAATCATGCAAGGAAAATGCCCAAACAAACAGTCGATGCCTATGCCGAACATGATAACTATCATCATCGAAGTTAGACGCATCAACAAATTTCTTTAGAAAATACTTTGTACAACAGCCGTTGCACATATATACACAGAGATTTCTTCCTTGCTTAACCACAAGGCCCATGTATCATAACCTCCAAAACAACAACATAATATGCATGATGGATATGATATTTTGTCTAGAATTTTAATAGATATTATCCGGTTAATATTTTCTACAATGATATCTCTTTTCACTTTTATAAAAAAAAAAATAACAATATATGAGCATGATGCAATCCACGTTTTCAAAACCCGGTTATATAGATAACATGAAAATAATTTCAAAGTTATGTAAGAAATTAAGACGTAGCAACACACACGAAAGCCCGGCCTCTCTCTCTCTCTATATATATATATATATAATTAGGTTCAAATGCAGTTCTTGCGCGCAGGTGAGGTTGTGCGGTGAGAGAAGAGCCATTGATCTTGCCGAAATCAACGTCCAAGATTAAAAATAATTAAAAAATTTGGTGTCAATTTAGTAAAATTTGCATCTAAGTCAAATTTAAGGTGAGTAGTTTTCCTTCTTAAGGTGCGTGATTTTTGTGCTTAAAGTGCGTGATTTTCCTTCTTATTGTTTTGACGTCGATTTGGTAAAAACCAACATTGTGTGTGCGCCGTTGAATGTTATTTTTGTTGTAGTGATCCTTCCTTCAATCCTTGAAGTTCCTCTTTTGATTTGATGACCACATACAGATGTGTTTATAAATAAATGCCCTTTTGATTTGATGACCACATACAGATGTGTTTACTTTACTAACAATCTGCAACAGTAGAGTTAATTTCAACACCTACGCATGTGGTGCAAACTGCACAAGGACGTGGTGCTTCATATCCTGGTTGGCATATGACCCGAGGACAAGACATAGGTCACACATCTTTGGTTGCTAGCATCTCCATAGAGCCCTATACAGTTGAGCCTACTTGTTATATACAAGTAGTCAAGTTCCTCGAATAGCGATATGCCATGGACCAAGAATTCAATGTCATGGTTCATAATTAGACTTGGTTATTAGTTCCTCGAACTCCATCTTAGAACGTCATTAGTTGCAAGTGTGTTGTTTTGTGTGAAATGCAAGGCATATGGGACCATTGATCGCCATAAGGCAAGCCATAGCTTGTGGCCAAAGGATTCAATCAAGTTGAAGGTGAAGACTACACTATCACTTCAAGTCCTATTATGATGCCCATTACTATTCGGCCAATGATCGCTCTTGTTGTGTATTTCATGGTTGGTTAATTCGAAAGTTGGATGTTCATAACGTCTTCCTGAATGATAATCTTGATGAATTGTTTACATGAAATAACCCCTTAGCTATGTTGATAAATACTTCCCTAATTATGTGTGCAAGTTTCGGCACTCCTTATATGGCCTAAATAAAGCAAGTATCTCGTGTTTAGGTCAAATGTTTGCATGATCATCTCCTTGCCATTGGTTTTCGAGCATCCAAGACGAATGTCTCTTTGTTCATCTATTCGGCTAATGGTGACTTTATATATCAGTTTGTGTATGTTGATAATATTTTAATTATTGGCAATAAGCGTGTGCTCTTAAATTCTATTATCTCCAAGCTTGTAGACACCTTCAAGATTCGAGATCTTGGAGACCTGAATTATTTATTTATTTATTTATTTTTGACTTTGAGGTCTTAAGTGACTAGACAGACATTATGCACCATGTGGGTATGCGTAATTGTACACCCACAGAAACACCTATTGCAACTTCAACATCTATTTCAACCACTGATGTAAAAATCAAGCATAGGCTCCACTCGACCGTAGCAAGTTACCATTTAGGCGCCACCTAGTCGGTTGGCCGATTAGGTGCCTAACTTGACCGAGTCAACTGAGTTAACTCGATTGACTCGACTGGTTTTTTTTATTGTTTTTTTTTTTTTAATTTTAGAGTCATGTGTAATAATTTTTTTATTTTTGTGCGTGTGTGTGTTTAATGTATTACACACACGCACAACCTTTTTTTTTTTTTTTTTTTTTTTTTTTTTTTTTTTTGTGTTTTCCGCCTAGGCAGGCCTAGGTGCTAGGTGAGCCTTTAGCTCCCAACTAGTGCTTAGCGTATTTTGCAACCTTGATTTCAGCCACAGGTGCCTTGTTTGTTGATCTTACCCTTTTATCGTCAATTGGTAGGTGCCTTGCAATATCTTACTTGGACTCAACCTAATATCAATTTTGCAATTAATAAACTATATAAACATATGCACGCTCCTACTGAAGATCATTTGACTTTTAATGAAGAGATTGTTTCGATATGTTACTGATACAAAAAGCAAACAAAATAATTAATTTGGACACCTTTTACACACCCAACCAGCACGTGCAAAAAAAAAAAAAAAAAAAAAAAAAAAAAAAGGTTTCTTGCAAAATGTGTTTTTCTCTTCTCTCTACTCTCACCTCCACTTAAGCTAAAAGTCAGAAAAATCCTCACTAAAATGCACTAATGGAGATGCTCTTATGCACTAATGGAGATGCTCTTAGAATACCAATGTTGAGGTTTCTTGCTCGTTATCAATACAATAGACTGATTGGTACAAGTATTCTGTTCAGCATGACATACATGCCAGAATCACTTTTTCAACAGGCAGGATATAACCACAACACCCTACAGACACCATCTTTAATTACTTCTCATGGTAAAAGTGAAACATTTTGAAACTAAGGATAGACTTTGCTGGGGAGAACCCATTTCTTGGGTATACCAGATATGGTGACTACTCCCAGAATATCAGAAACTATGGCCATCCAGATTTATAAAGGATGTTCATCAGATAGCATCAAAGGTGACAGTTTGGGTTTCCATGTTATAATCTAGCAGAACCAAGATAATTACCAAAACATTTAGTTGACAATTTTCCAACAAGCAGTTACCTCTTTTAAGGAATACATAGATAATTCATTCTATATCAATGCACAACTTCTTTCTTCAGAATTGCAGTCAATCTGATTCATCCTCTTTGCCACTGTCATCATAATCTTCATCACTTACGTCAAACTCTTTGTCACTAAAAATCCGATCAAGTTGAGGATGGCTCCGAATATCTTTCATCAGCTCCTCATCTGCCTCTTCACTTTTCCCACTCAACTTCCTCTTCAATATGACCTCAAATATTTCGGGAATTGCTTCCCCATCTCCTTCAATTAGCCTCTCTATCCTCTTCTTCAATGCTGCAATAGATCAAAATACATTCTCAGTCCTCTCTCAGGGCAATCAAACTATAAAATCTCATCACCATTAAGTAAAGATGCAATACATTCTCAATGATCTGTTCTTATTCTTTAAACTATCATAACCACTTGATCCCATCCATATTCAGCTGCAATACAACAAGTATGGGGAAAGCAAAGCAAACACTATACATTCATCATAAGAATTGGTCATTCACTACAACAGTAATTTCTACAATTGGTATCATTCACTACGTCTTAGATACACACACACAAGTTTAGAATCTTGGAAGAATTTAATGTCATTCAGAGCATAATAAGACTACTAAAATTTCTCATAAACATTTATTCCTACTCATCTCTCTATCTTCTTCTTCAATGCTGCAACAGAAACAAAATATAGTCTCCTCTCTCTCAGGGAAAAAATAAAATAAAATAAAAAATAAAAAATAAAAAATAAAAAAAGTATTTCAGGAAACACTACAATGAAGTCACCTTCAGATAGAATAAATGTCCACTTTTACTCACTCCCATTCTTTTTAAAGTTACAAAATCAATCACCAACAATCACAAGTAAATTAAACGAAAAAAAAAAAAAAAGTCAGAAACAGAATCAGAAAAGCTCGATCATTTCTTATAATTTGTAAAAGTAACCTTCATTGCTGAGGTCTTGGGAATCATTACAGTCGGTGTCAGCCACCCTTTCGAATTGCTCCGGCTCTAACTCAGGAATCGGGCAATTAGGGTTAGGATTTTCGGAGGTGAAAAACCGATAGTGCATCAAAATTGAAGAGGGTGGAGGTCGTAGTGACGGGAAGCGTATAGGGGTTTGATTGGTGGGCAAAATGGGGTAAACATTGCGAGAGCAGAGTGAAATCGCTCTTGAGATTGAACGTTTCATTTTCGAATCTCTGGTCGTTAGGGTTTTAGGACTTGGGAGGATTTTTTAGTTTTATGGAAGAAAAATTAATTAATTAAGGGATAAGTGTATTTTTGAATTATTCATGAAAGTGGAATTAAGTCATCAAACTAAAAAAAAAAAAAGTTTGAATTAAATATCTGAACTTAGAAAATAAGTGTAATTATCCTCATTTGACATGTTATTATAGTTAATTTTCAAGTTAAAGATAATTAAAATGTCATATCAATATGTTTTGATGACTTGGATGCCCAACAACAACAATAACTATTATTATTATTATTATTATTATTATTATTATTATTATTATTATGCGAATAAGGCATAAGTCACCAAAACATATTGATATAGCATTCCAATCAGCTTCAACTTGAAAGTTACCTGCAATAACAAGTCAAATGAGGTTAATTGTACTTTTTTAAAATTCAGGCGTCTAATAGAATTTTATTTCTAGTTCGAGTGCTTAATTGTGTTTCCATAAATAATTCAAGTTTTATTTGAGCTTTATCCCATTAATTAATTAAAACAGGGAAATATAAAATAATTTCTGTTGAAGGTTTGAAGCACAATTGAAATATGGATCAACGATCCCAAGAATGTTGTATCTGGCAGAAGCTCCTTGAACAATATCTTTTTTGAGTGAAGGAATTGGATGATGAAGGACTAGGATATGAGATGTTACCTCGTGTTGCAGGGGCAGAACCAGGCTTCTGATTGACTTGCGAAGAATCGAAGAATGGAAACTAGTTTAGTGCTTTTGTCGCCCTGCCTCATAAAGAGCTGGATTTGATTATCCATAAGGATGTTGTTGGGGTGCCTTGTGCTCGTGGGGACTTTTTTTTTTTTTTTTTTTTTTTTTGCTATGTCAACACGGATTGCTGATTATCCTAACAAAATCTTTGAATGATAGTAGATTTTCAATTCTAAGACTTGAGTTGGGAATGATTGAGATGAAATAAAGATAAATTTATCTAAGTGCTATAGATTCGAGAAGTAAAGTACTACCTTGGAATGGTGGTACATCTAAGTGTTAGTTTTGGTATTTTTTTTGTATTATACATAGTGAGTGTAAAACTAACAATAAATAAATAAATAAATAAACTTGATAAGAAATTATAAATGTAGAATACATAGCATTTTACTTAGGAGTGAAGTTGGTACTACTTGGGATTTGCACGGAAGAGTTATTATACCATGGACTAGTGTCCACCTTGCAAAGTGGACTTTGGTCCTATAATGTATAAATTGTGTAATTTTAATATTGAAATTGTGAATTTGCAAAATATAAATTGTGTTTTTAAGTTAAAACACATAACAATTATAGAAGGGATATAATACTGGGTCATCAAATACTAATATATTAATATTGTGTAACTGCAATATTTGAAAAGAACTTGTGAATACTTGTGTGTTCGTAGTATACAAATTATGAATTTTTAAAAAGTAAATTTTGAACATTTAGTATGTAAATTGTGAATATTTAGACCCGGACTCACAGAAAAATTTGCGTGCGTTGAAACTTCAAGCTTGAAGATCAAATATAATTTCGCATAATTACCATGGAATTTGGGCCTCATCTGTGATGGAAAATTTTATTTTGGACCATGGTCCACGTAACAGCATGGATCATAAAACAATACGATGTAGTTTGAATAATTTGATGAAAAAAAATAAAAAAAATTTGTAGCCACTAACAATGGTAGACGGCAAATTCTGATAAAGTCTATGCAGTAGCTTTTCTCATCTTCGTTGTGATCTTCTCTCATCCGCTTCTCTTATCTTTGTTTGTCTTCCTAGTCTTTCCCATATTCGTTTTGTCGTGTATTTGCAAAGTTTTATCGACCATTCGACAAATAGAGTCAAACCAAAATTAAATAACTATATGGATCATTCAGTTTCATTTAATAAAAACTATAGTTTCATTACAACACGATTAAAGTATTATTTTAATTCAACCACGGTTTCATTTGACAATATACATTCAATATGTGAGATTTACTATTCAATTTCAATTTATACACACTATAATTTCATTACAACATCACTAAAGTATCATTCTAATTCAACTACATATTCATTTGACAATATATATACTCAATATGTAAGATATATTATTCAGTTTCATTTTGTACACCCATTTAGTCTCATATTATCCTAAACATGTCATAGACACAAAATCAGTTAAATGACGATTGTGATTTCTTTTCATTAAAAAAAAAAACAAAAAGAATCATTTTGAACTATGATCCATTGCATAACGATTCATCTTTGGTTTTAATAGCATCAAGTTTACTAATTGTCCATGGGTTGGCCTAATTTAAACTGGGCCTTTTGGAATTCATGTGGATTTTATTGAATTGCCCGAATTGACCAATTCGGGATGCGGGCTACTGTTAATTTTGGGGCTCAATGGAAGCAATTGGAGAATTTTTGCTTTAGATAAAATTTTGGCCCGTAACGGATTTGCTTATTTGGGCAATTGAATCAATCATTATCACATGGACCCTAGTTCACACAGCTATGTGAATTACGGTCCAAAAAAATATAAAATATATTATTCTAACTTATAACATACATTATTTTAACACATAAATCTTGTTTGGTAAATGGTTGTTAGTTGTTAGTTAATTGAGTTAATTAGAAGGTATAATTAATTGATAACATTAGCTGATCGTAGAAAAGTGTTTGGTAAATTAAGTGTTAGTTGTTAGCGGATAGCTATTTGGTATAATTTTTTTTTTAAAAAAAGTTAATTGAAAAAGTTATTTTGAGCAGATTTTTGAATTTTAACATTTTGGAGTCACAAAAATCTACTTAAACAAACACATATATTATTTTTTAACCAAGTCAAACAATTGCCAAGCACATTGTGCTTAGATGACACCTCAGTGGCTCCCCTTGAGGGAAGGTCACAGGATTGAACCCCAGTGATGGAGTATTGACTCTTTAAACTACAATAGTTTAAAAAATGTAAAAATATATACAACAGATACTACATTGTCATTGCGGAGTAATTCTTCCGAAGGTAATTAAGAGGGTGTACTAATTCTTACACTTCATAATTATGACAACAAAGTAATGATATGACTCTATGTCTATATTCCTTCCTACATTCCCATGTGGTTTGGGCCAAATTATTAAACTATAAGGTAGTAAGGTACACAATGGCATGCTTCAACAACTTTTAGGATCACGCAATTATGTCCATATTATTGTACAATTATTGTTGGGTATTGAACCCATAACGTTTAAGATTAGATAAGCACTTACAAGACATTTGGTTGAAAGGAATGAATTACAATCGTTATACCATGCATCACGGTGTACGTAACAATGTATGTTCCGCACCTCTTAAAATGACATTGTTTTGTCAAATTGTGTGGAGAGTTGATGCGACAAAGTGTATGTGTATTCTGGTATATAATTATGTACATTATGTTATACAATTATGTATATTCTGTTATACAATTATGTACATTCTTTTATACAATTATGTACATCCGAAACATAGAATTTTTTTAAGGGTTAAAAGTTTATGTGTATTATGTTAAGAGTTTGTGTATTATGTCAAGAGTTTATGTATATTATGTTAAATGTTTATGTGTATTATGTATTATGTATTATGTTAGATTATGTGTATTATTTTAAAAAAAGAGTATGTGTATTCTATTATACAATTATGTACATTCTCTTATACAATTATGCACATTCTATTATGCAATTATGTACATTTTTCAAAACATGATATTTTTTAAAGAAGTTAATAGCAGTCACGGAAAACAAAATTTCTCCCAAAAAAGTACAAAACGTCATTTTGTACCATGGCGCACAATGCAATGTGTGTCCTGGTGCACGATATAAATGGCCAAGGAATTGAATTAGGGAGGAAAACGAATTGTAATTCCGTGAGAAAACAAAAAGAAGGGTAAGAATAAAGTAGAAATTCAAATTACATTATTTAGTAGATAGGAATAGAATTTCCGAGAATTGAAAGGAAAATACTAAAATACCCTTAATAATAATAATAATTATAGCAACAATAACAATAACAACAATAATAATTTAAAAACATAATAAGCCTCAATTAAGGTTATATCCTTGATTTATGTCCCTCTTTTTGCATGCAAATAAATGTGTGTATTGTATTTTAAATGTTGTACATTTGATGTTATTAGACAAAACTACCTTACACCATTAGTTTTTAATTCTAACATTGATAACACATCATTATTACCATACAACTATATCTATCATATCTTTTTCTTGTTTTTTAATTATCATTTTATTAAAATCATTATTTATTTATTTAATGCTTAATTATATTTTAATTAAATTTCTATGAATGATAAATTATATATGTGTGTGTACAAAATACATATATTATTTGTTTATATATAATTCAAATTATAATTTTTAATTATTTATATTTATCAATATTTTAATATTGAGCATGAATTTTCGCGTATCGCGCATATAAAATGCTAATAATAATATTAAACATCATCATCATCATCATCATCAAGGGTAATATAATGTTGTAATTTCTTCCTTTTTTTCCCTTTCCATCCACCACCGAATTTGAATTCATACAGGGAGCCCTATGAATTTCAATTCCACAAATGAAATTGCAATTCCCTTCAACTAAATAATATAATAGTGCTTCGCGAAGAATTAGGTTTGATGGTTTTGTTGAAACCCGATCCACCACAAACCGAACTAGGTATAGAAGCATAGAATAGAGGGATAGCAAAGTTGCGTACAAAATCCGAGATACTAGCCCAAAACGGAAACTCAAATATTAAATAAATTATATAAGTTGTAGCCCCAAATAGTGGGCTAGAAATAATAAGTATAACAATGTAGCTAATGAGAATCAACCCTAAGTGGGTGGGTTGAAACAATGGACAAGAAACCATTGGACCATGGCGCTTGCATTGATTAGATCATGATGTCTTAAAGGAGGCATGACACCTCCTTTAATAGTGTTCAAGAGTTCCTATGTCTTGCCAAGTGGACGGAGATGCTTCACCCTTTATGACCACCACCCACGTGTTCATTCCATCCTTACATCTGCATCAGTACGTCTTCACCACCCTAGCCACACACATGTACACCTTCAATATTGCCCCCACGGTGGGGTGCACCAGGCCCCCTAGGGGCGCCATGGCCGACGAATGATTGTGGCAAGTTTGTAAATCTACCAGCCCATGAAAGTTGGAACAAATATAAGTAGTAATGCCTTAATTCACAAGAGATAGAGTAGCCTAGTAGGTTAGGACATGCGTGCTACGCTGGATGTTTTGGGTTTGATCCCTGCTGGTAACATCTTTTACTATTTTACTCTAAGCCATGGTGTGGTGCGCTGTTGTATTCACCTGGCCTGCCGGTCCAACGTGACCCGCTACGAGGATTTCGACGGGCGCGATTTTGCCCCGGTAAACTCCTCCCCTCCCCTCTTTTGTGCCGTTTTCGGCTACCATGCCTTCCTAGCCTAACAAGATTTGGGCCAACCTCCTTCCTTCACCACCCCCACCCACTTCGGCCAAGACTTTCCTTGACCATCCCTATTTGGGTCAAGACTTTCGCAATAAAATGAGTCCCGGGGTCTCATGGCCTCATCAAGGTTGTAATTGAATTACAACTACATCCTACCAAACATGTGGTTAGGGTCATCTATATCGAGAAGAAGTAATGCGAGCATGGAGATTTTTTATTAAATTTATATGTATGTAGGCTATGTTTGAATATAAGTGTAGTGAGTGAATATAATTTAACAAATTGAACAATCATACGAATGTGAAAAGTTGATTGTACAACTAAGTGGTAAAATCTTTTATTTATACATATAGAGTGTATACTATGTAATTTAGGTCAATGAGAATAGTGCATTTTTTTTTTTTGAAAAAAAAAATAATCTTTTTTATTACAAGAGAAGGGAGATACTCAAATATACAAACAAATACGCCTTCACCAAGGCTCGAACCCATCACCTCTCACATAAGGGATTAACTTGGTTCCATTAAACCACAAGAGTATAACATGAAATATCCAAATGCTCTGATATACATCTTGTGATTAACTATTTCTTTCTAACAGCATCTTTAGTTAAAGAAGTTAAAGTTCATCTTTACTGTAGTCTGATGACACTGATCATCCCAATAATAAGGATACTTCAGTCTAGCAGTTGTGTGTGGTATGAGCAGTCGTCATATATGAGCACTTTCACTGGTGGGTGAGATATAATAACCAAGACTTGTAAATGCTTTAATTCACCAATGTTCCATACCTGATGAGCATCATTAGTAGGTATATGAAAAGTGATATTTGTGAAGATAGGCAATTCCTGTGGGTTCCCAGGGTATTTTTGTAACACCCCCGATTTTTACCACATTTTTAAAACTTAAATTCAAAGGAAAACATCTAATCATCAAGACATAAAGCAAGCGGAAGCTATATAAAATCGGTAAGCGTTATGCCACACCTATCTCAAACATAGGTGCACAGGCGGGAAAACTAACAAGTCAATCAACAACAGTAAAAGTTTAGGCACACAGGCCGCTAAACTAGGCACACAGGCCAACAAAAGGTAACGTCTAAACATGGTGGCTACTCTATCTAGCGATCCACAGCTAGCGCTCTCAGCATCTACTGAAAACCTGTAGAATCAAGGGATAACACCCGATCAGCGAATATTGCTGGTAACCCATCAATACGCGTTAAATAACATATATAGATAGATATAAACAAAAACATTTGGAACAGGAATACAATATATATCATTTCAAAACCAAAGAGAGAAGTCAACACCAAGGACTCATCAAACACTCTCAAAAGAAACGAGGATCATCACCCTCACGACATCAACAAAACTACAAACATGAGAGACAACAACTCAGGATGCATCCTACTGATCACAAAGTAGAATACATCAAGACATGTTCATAAGCAAGGAAAACACATTCACATGGTAACAACTACATGTCACAAGTATCATAGTTCCAACCTTATGGCTACCCTCGACCTTATTTCGGTTCCAACCATTACCTCCTAGTGCCACCACAAGTTAGCAATCTCATTACGAAGGAACAAACCACACACACTAGCATATCAACATCAAAATAGCATGCTTATCAAACGGGTAAACCAAAATTAGTTCCAAAGAACGTTCAAGGCTCACATTAGCCCAACGAATCACAAAGTTGAACCCTTAGCACGATTCAAGACACCAAATCCTACATGGATTCCTAACACACCGTTCTAGACATACAAAACATCAAGAAGACTCACAAATAGCCCAATAAATCAACATCGGGAGGTCAAAACATCAATACCTAGAAGAAGGAATCACGGGGAACAAATCCCCGGCATCAACCCACAACGTTCCCCGCGGGTGGGGCCACGGGTGGAACTCCACCCGTGGTTCCGCCCGCGAGTACACATACCCACGAGGCCATGTACCTCGCGGGTGGGGCGGCGGGTAGGCCTCTGCCCGCTGTTCCGCCCGCGGGTACGCACCTGTACACCAAAATATCCCTTCTGAGATTTTCAACAACAAGGCCAAATCCAAGTCCAAAACACCCAAAATCTCACACACAACAACAATATGACTTGAACCTAAGAAATAGCCAAGCAATGGTATTTAAGAACCATAAGAACAAGCTCTAAACATGCATCACCACAAGACAATGCATCAAATCTCATAAATCAACACAAGAATCACAAGTAGAAACCAAGAATCATCATATAAGTAAGAAAATAGGTTTTGTAAAGCATGTGTTAACTTTGTAGCCTAACAACTTCCTCTTTTCACCCTTAAAAGCCTTTCCTAGAGCTCCTCTTCCACACCAACTTCTTACACATAACAAAACACAACAAAGATCCTAACTTTAGAAAAAGACACCTAGAAGGAGATTAGAAACACCAAAAAGCCAAGGATCTTACCCTCCCTTATGCTCAAGATGAAGAAAGTAGGAATCTTGGGAGAAAATCTTGCAAGACTTGGATGCTCAAATTCTAGCTTGGAGAAGAAGCTTAATTCATTTTAGAGAGAGGCTAGAGTTTTTTTTTTTTTTTTTTTTTTTTTTTTTTTTTTTTTTTTTTTTTTTTTCTTTTTTTGTGTTTTAGGGTGAAGGGTGAATGAAATGAAAGAGTCTTGCTAGGTTAGCTTGAACCACAATTCTTAGGTAGAAAGACATTCCTACCCTTACTAATGTTGGAAAGACAAGGGAACAAGGGCACAACTCAAGAAGCACAAGGTACAACCCTTTGACTTAAGTGACTAGTCAAAATCTAGTCCTTCGACTATTAAATTTCAGGATTTTTAGAAATAGATTAGCAAGGAAATTTGTATTAATTCTTCATTTAATCTTCAATTAGCGTTTGAATTTACGGGGTGTTACAATTTTGGATGTGAGTTAGATGCAAGGTAGAGGGTACTACTCCCCTTCAGCACTACAAAGATTTCCTCACAAGAGTGTCTATGAATTGGTGTTTTAGAACCTAGGGCAAGTGTTTGGAGCCATACGTCTACCTCTTTCATGCCATGCATGACTGAACCAGCAAGCGTGATATGAGATAAATCAGGACTTCCATAGTTATCTTGTGGAAACTCACTGATATTCCTAATTAGCGGTAATCCTTTGATTGAACAGTGCAAAGCTTCGACGGTTAAGGAGAAGAAAACAACCGCCAAAGACAAAACTCCGACTAAACGCCGGCTCATTTTCACAAACTTCTCCGGCCTCCCTCTCCGACGCCCGTCAAGCGAGGATTCTTGAACAAAGTAGGACATGGATGACTAGAAAGAAGGCCTTCGAGTCTCCCAAATGATGAGAATAGAACTCATTGCTCATACTCTGGTACAAGGTGTATAATCTGACTTGATGCACACATCCTCGATAAAGTTTTTTTTTGTTCTTTTGTGTTTCGGAGGGGACTCAGGCCCCATTTCTTGACATGTAATGTCATTGTGTCTCCCGCATCGGCTTGGAGAACCTCTCTAAGCTTGTCGGGCAACTCCTAAAAAACTTCCTTACCCAAGTTCCCCAACTTGTCCCATGTTGGCCAATCTATCAATATATTTGTTCCCTTATCTTAAGACGTGCCCAATTATGACCCTCGACCCCCCAATTGTTCATTATTCTTCTGCAATCTTCAAGCTAATTACCCCCACATTTCCATTAAGCTCCGAGTCCCCAAGCAAGGCCTTCACCACGGCTTCGGAGTCAAGTTCAACTAAAATCCTTTTCTAACCTGTCTCCTTGGCAATCCAAAGCCCCTCCCTTAAGCCTCAAACCTCTGCTAAGAAGCTCATAGTGGCTGCAATGTTCACAGTGAAACCCAATATCTAGTCACCTTGATGATTCCTAAAGAGCCCACCAGCGCATGTTCACAGTGAAACCCAATATCTAGTCACCTTGATGATTCCTAAAGAGCCCACCAATGCTAGCCAAGTCTGACTCGCTTTTCCTAGCCCCATCAGTGTTAAGCTTGACATAAATGATCCCTGGTGGCGTCCATCTAACTCACTTCAAACTACACCTGCCGAATATATTTTTGTTGGCTAAGAAGTGACAAGAATCCTGTGCAAGATATTCGACTCTTCTAACAACCTCCCGCGAAATCCTTCTAAGTCTACCTGGAAGCCCATTCATTTCTGGCTTTCCAAATTTCCCAAAGAGTGCAGACGAACTTGGTTTACCAGTTTGTGTTACCTTGATATCCGAAATCTCTAGAGCAATTGGATTGAATCCAATCAATCGTCAGTCCCAAATTACTCCTCCTAAACCCATTCGACGTGACGCAAGGCCACTAAATATCCACGGTAAAGTGACAGTCCTAGAAGATATGTTTAATGGATTCATCCTCTTCACCACGCCTTGGGCATTCTCCCTCATTGGTCAACCCATTCCTCCTCTGTTCCATATCAGTTAACAAACTCCCTTTCGCAATGCACAAATCAAACATCTTTAACCTCAAAATCCACCCCATGTCATTTGTTTCATCATGATTCCCTACCGGCATCTAATAAGCCGACTTCATTGGGTAAGTTCCTAAATCCGCATAAGGCCAACTCGGTTTGTCTTCCATATTCTCTTCAAGATAAAAGGGGGTTGACAAATTTATTCAGGAGCCCTAGAGAAAATGAATTCCTGTAGAATATCCAATTCAAGTCATGAGAATTGTGAATAAAGTCACATACCTTGGCATTAGTGAGACTGTCACGGATAACTACATCAGGTTCAAGGTTGAAAGGCTTATCACCCACCCACTAATCAGACCAGAAGTGTAGGGAGGTTCCATTACCAACTTACTAGCGAGCCCCACACTCCACCACTGTTTTTCCTTTAAAAATGCTCCTCCAGCTCCATGAGTTGTTAGCTATCGATGAGACTGTGAAAAAGTTCTTTTGCCTAACGTATTTGTCGCATAAAGCTTGCACCTAAGTGTTATCATGTCTAGTAACTAACTTCCAAGCAAGTTTTCTCAGGAGAGCAAGGTTGGCGTCTTTAGCCAAATGAAAACTGAGACCCCCTTTCTCATGAGGCATGCTAACGTCCTTCCAATTCACTAGGTGAATCTTCCTAGCCTCTCCATTACTTCCCAACAAAATGTCTATGCAAATTTTAACAATCTCATGACACACATTACTGGGAAGTGCAAGGCATTGCACGGTGTACGTAGGCATGGATGCCAAAGTCAATTGAACAAGGACTCTCCTCCCCGCCAAGCTAAGAGAAATTGCTATCCAATTTGCAAGCTTTTGTCTCATGCGCTCAATCGAGGCTATTGTAAGATTTCTGGAGATCCAATTTCAAGGCCATGATGCCTAGTTTTCCCCTTTTCTGAATCATAGAGTGAACCACCTCTTAAGTAAGGACTACATTGTCAAGTGTGGACCTTTCCCATAGGAAGCTATTCTGAATAGGCCCAATAATACGTTGCATCCAAGGCCTTAACCTACCACATTTGGGAGACTGATTGGCGCAAATCCCTTGCGCTTTCTGGTCTCTCCTACGGAATAAGTGTGATAAACGCAGTCAAAAGATCAACTAGAACCTTCCCTATTTCAATCATCGAGTTAACCAAATTCATGAGACAAACCCCAACCGTATCCTAGAAATGCTTATAGAAGGTAGCCTGAATGCTATCCAACCTAAGGCTCCAGAGCTTTTTCATCCCAAAAACCACTCTCCTAACCTCATTTATACTTGAAGGTTGCATTAACCTATTCTCCTGGCCGGTATCAAGTTTAGGTCCTGGATACCCCAAAGCATCCAGGCCAACAAACTGGGATCCCTGTCAAAAAGCCGAGAAAAGAAATCAGCTGTTGGGCGTTGGTCGGGATGGCCGAGTTCAGCCCTTACAAGATTCAAGACATGGTGTTGTAGCTTAACATAGAGGGGTGTGGTTAGATGGTTAATGTCCACCCTACTTATCACAAATTATTTTTAAGTTGGATATGGCAACCAGATAGCCAAAGAACTCAGTGGTTAAGCGTGCTTGACTTACAATAGTCATAGGATGGGTGACCGCCTAGGAAGTAAGCATAGTTCAGTGCTCAAATCCAAGAATTGATATTAGAGTCAAGGTCCCTAGTTTGAATCGATGATCAAACGAAAGTTGGGTCTAGTCCTAGATGGGATGTGGGTGTAAGTCGGGCCAAGTCCAGTCCTCGGAGGGGGATTAGTGAGCACGGAGGCTAAGGATCGGGTCCAGTCCTTAGTGTTCAAAGGTTGCGGCAGGTGTTAAGATGGGGATTCTTGGACGTAGATCGGGTTGGTTGAGTTCAGCCCTTATTGATTCGAGACGTGGCACTATGGCTAGCCAAAGAACTCTGCGGTTAAGCGTGCTTGACATACAGTAGTCACAGGATGGGTGACCCCATGGGAGGTAAGCATAGTGTAGCGCTCATATCCAACATCAACTATGTGATTACCCAAGATTCTAGAATCAGAAACCGACTGTAACACCCCAGATTTTCAAGAACATTTAAAACTTATATAACAAGGATAACATCTCACTAAATCCCAAAGTATCACATAAGCGTACGGGGTGTTATGCCACACCTGGGCTAGAGAACCCAGGTGCACAAGCTATCTAACTAATATTCTCCGAAATGTAAATGCATAACATGGCACACAGGCCGAAAGGGAAACTACTCTACTTCTACGCTCCAGTCTAGCGCGCTCCGGTGCTCTAATCCTCTGTGCCTGAAAGCCAAATATATCTGTTCAGCGAGAGATGCTGGTAACCCACTCCAACGCGTTGAAATACAATACATATAGATATATATAGATATACGAAAACCATTTTGAGCATGAAGATATATCCTACGAACTCTAGCTTTTAAAACCGGGAATGACTCGACAGATAAGGCTAGACACAAGCAACAGTTATAACAAGCGTATACAATCCACAACAGGCAAGACAGATAAAGCTGAGCACAATTAATAATCATAACCCAACATAAACAATCCCCAGCATAAATCCCATAGTCACATCCCCCAAGATACTCATAATCACAACTCATCCATATCTCATCACATAGCACACTTTGTTGGCGACATAGGACCAATCGCATGCCCATATATGAGGGTCAGCGCATATAGCTCTGACACGGCCCCGCAGCACCCTGCCCCGTATCGCAACACGGAGGGGTCGATCGCAACCAACCGATGAACCGCAGCTCATCATAATGTTTGATCGCAACCAAACAGTGGACCGCAGCCCAAGAGTATGTCGTCTGACCGCAGCTAGGAAAGTATGAACCGCAGCTCATGTAGAAACGTTTGATCGCAACCAAACGGTGGACCGCAGCCCAAGAGTGTAAATCTGACCGCAGCCAGCTTCTGAACCGCAGCTCAGGAATAACCAATCCGATCGCAACCGAATTGGGGTGTCATGCACACATAACACATAGCAAGCACATGCAACCCACATTAACACATTGCGAAAGGGAGAAAGCGTATAACAAAACCTATGCGTGATCCTTCACATACTAAGAATGGTCCTAAGGGGGTTCATACTTCTTCCACCTAGGTCAACGGGATACCAATTCAACTAGCATGCAATATATAAGACTCACAAACCTACGAACGGTACCCGAAACATTAAACTAGACACTGCACGATGAACGGAGTCCGTTGGGACACCACGGGGATCGGGGAAACATCAAACGGGGAAGCCGGGTCCCGAATGGGGGATATTTCCAGCGGGTAGCAGGTGGGTGGGGGGGCACCCGCAGGCTGCCCGCCGGCAAGCACTGTTCCGGGCAACGGGTCGCCGGCGGGCAGCTGCCCGCCCGCCGGCTGCCCGCTGCCGGAGACGCCCCTTCTGGCCGCAGGTAGGTGGCGGGTCCCCTACCCCCCACTGACTCTTTATACACAAAACGCCCCGGGAACCATTGTGGAACCCGAAACCATGCTTAGACACTTTACAACGCAATTAACGATCAACACGTAGACAATTTACGGATCAAATACGAGAAACGTACGGCACATAACCTATCATGCTTTTCTAAACATAATTGACACCCAAACATGCGATTTCCCCACCCGATACACCAAGAATAATATCATACGATACAACCTAGGGTTCTAATCACTTTTATACCAACAAGAATACGATTCGTCTTCTAATTACAAGATTCGGTAAGAATATCACATAAGCATCAAGAACATCAACCTAGGGTTCTAATTACTTTTACATCAACAAGAATACGGTTCGTCTTCTAATTACAAGATTCGGTACAAATAACACATAAGCATCAAGGACGCCATACAATTATCAAGAACAACATATAATTATCAAGAAC